TCTATGGGAAGCCACTAAAACTGTAACATGAGGTACCCTCATCAAAATTGGCTCTTGACTCAAAAAAAATAAGATTGCAATGTATAGACTTACTGTTTTCTGTTATACAAAAGCTAGGGCAGACACACAAAAAGGCTAGCACTCGTTACGTATTGTGATATGAGGTAGCCCAGGATCATCAGCCAGCCATGTTGGTAAAAATAATCTTCAGCAAACAACCAATACAAAATAGTCCATGGTCTGTTTTTTTGCCAAACTAGTTAAAGGTGGGGTTTCCTGTTGGCTTCTGGGGTCCCAAGGCGGAGGTTTTTACTGGTCAGTCACTGTTGCTCAGTCCACCCTGTTCACACAGGTGTCCTGCTCAGCCTCACTGCTAGCAGCTGTCTACTCTTCCTTATCTGGACTCTGAGGCACTTGGGTTAACACCTACAGACCCAAAGTCTTGGTAATCAGGGTTTGCAGGTTCTTCCCACCAAAAACTCTTAACCTCAATATTCTGGGTCCCTAATAAGGACTTACCAATCCAGAGAGTACTAAAAACTCGTCTCTACCCCAGCCAGACTACCACAGACCTCCACACCCTGCATGAATGAGAACCCCTGAGTACTCAAAAATGTATTCAAACTGTCCCCCCTAAGGGGACCACAACTCAAACACTGGGGGATATACCTGCTGTCCAGGACACTAGACCCCCCCCCCCCCCCCCCCCCCCCCCCCACACACCGTGTCCTGTACAATATGCAGAACTGCTCAAAGCAAGAGCACAGTAGGACAGTCTTCTTTTTCAAAAAGCTAAACGGAAGCTGGTCTGGGCAAAACATTCATTATGAATTTCTTTGTAAACCAGGCACCCTTCTGGCCAAGGCCCACTAAATCATACATTTCCTATATACTAACCAGGTCCAGTAGACGGCTCTCTACATCTGCTGCTATGTCCTCAGAATTAGGGAATTATTTCAGCAGTTATATAAACTCATCCCAGCTGTGGGAAATTCTGAAGCTGGGAGCCACTGCGATGCAGCTTTGGCTTGCCTTCGAACTTCTGGAATGCCGTCATTGCCAAAAGTGGTTAGTGAATCTCTGGAATCGTTAATAACGAAGGAGGAGCTAAGCATGGCTACTAACCAAACGAAGCCCAAAAAGGTGCCAGGACAGGATGGTCCCACATTAATCTACTGCTCTAATGTTTTATCTTCAAATTGGGCCCTATTTTTCTTATTGGCATATATCTCCCTTCTTTAGTAAAGGGTCCATGACTATCGACTCCCTTTGGGTATACATATCCCTTATCTATAAAGATCCATCATAATGTGGTAGCTACAGACCTATTAAACTAATAAATACCAGTTTGAAACTATTTTCCGTTCTTGCCGAATAGACTGCAACCACACTTATCAAAACTTATACACACTGACCAAGCAGACCTTCTTGCAAAGCCAGAGACAACACCATTAGGATCTTAAAACTTATCCACAATGCTGGATCCAACAAGCAAGAATTGCTCCTGCTCTCGACCGATGCCAAGAAGACCATTGATAGGGGAAGCTTGGTAGTTTGTGCAAGCTACGCTTCAGCATATTTGCCTCAGTACAAATATGATTAGGTGGATTACCTCTCTGTAGAACACACCGTATCCGCAGTAGTAAAAGTTAACAAACTCAGATCTGACTACTTTCCCATAACAAGCAACACGAGGCAGGGCTATGTTGGTAAAATCCACGCTAATCTGGACACAATAGATTATACCAAATATTGGGCACCCATAAGATTGCAGCCTTTGTGAATGATCTGATATTCCCTTTTAATGCTCCCCTGTTCTTAGGGCTTTGCATGTGTACTGATCACTGTCCAATTACAAAATTAATCCCACAAAATCAGAAGCCCTTAATATATCGGACCCATCCTCTGATATACAGTGCCTTCAACCCCAATTTCCTTTTCGATGGGCTAATAGCCATCTGAGATATCTGGGCACCAATATCACTAAAAATCCAGCCAATTTATTTTTTACAGTAACTTTGAGCATCTTCTTTGTCAAATTAAGATTGATCTCCTCCATTCGCACTTTCCACAATTTAAAATGGTTTGGGAGGCACAATGTCCTTTTTAAAATGCAATCTTGCGTTGTATCCTTTACTTATCTAAAACTTTGTTCCTGCTCCTGGGAATTCCTGTGTTCTACAATGCCAAGGATCAGAATGCAACTGTTGTCCCTCCCTAAATCATATGATGGTATAGGATTGCCAGATATTGCCCTATACCACAAAGCATCCCACCTTGCTAGAATAGTTGATTTGTGCTGTAAGAGTGGCCAAATTAAGGGTTTCTGTAGAATCGGCAGACTCTGTCTTGGCCGTGGGATTGCTTGGCTATCTGTGCTTTTGTTGCATGAGTGTTTGATACACCCCACCTTAGCTAGTCTTATTCAGATCACCAGGGAAATCTTCAGCTCATCCACGCTTTCACCCTCCTCTTCCCCTTTAACCCAAAATCTTTAGTAATCCCAACTTTACCCCTGGGTTTACCAGTAAACCCTGAAACATTGTGTTATCTGATAAAGTATGTCTGATAGATTTTGTTATTTTATTTTTTTTCCATCCAAGATAAGGTGCCCTCTTATTTATTTATTTATCGAGTTTTTATATAGCGCCAAAGGGTTTGCTCAGCGCTGTACAATAGAGGGGGGGACAATACATGAAACAGTACAGTAACATCAAACAGGACACAAGGGGTAAGAGGGCCCTACTCTTTCGAGCTTACAATCTAGGAGGGAGGGGGTAGAGGTACAGGAGGAAAAGGCTGTGGGGGATGGAGTGGTAGGAGGAGGGAAGGGCAGCGGCTGTTAGGTGAGGGTGGGGTAGGCTTCCCTAAAGAGGTGGGTTTTCAGGGAGCGCCTGAAGGTGAGGAGGGAAGGTGACAGTCTGATGGATTGGGGTAGTGAGTTCCAGAGGATGGGGGAGGACCTGGAGAAGTCTTGCATCAGAAATTGTAAGTTTGTCGGACCCCCCCTTTGGACTTCTGGAGCATATCACAGCTATGGCACTTCTTACTGTCCATTTCCAAGAAGGGGACATAATCAACCCTTTTACAGCATTTGATGCACTCTATCAGACAGGGAAGCCCTTCCGCCATGCACTCTCAATTGTCTACACCGTACTAGCACAGCCAGAGGGGGAATACTCCCCTCCTTTTCTCCATACGTGGGAAGCTGAGCTTGGTATCCAACTGACTACCCACCAACAAGAATCCTAAATCTTGCACATAAATCCTCAATTGCCAGTACGTTCCAGGAGATGGGGTAGAGGTGGGACAAATTGCCTGCCATGCTACACAAAATTAACCATCAAATCCCAAACACCTGTTGGAGGTGTAGGAATGCAAGGGGAACTATGCTCCATTTTTTTTTGGTTTTTTTAGCAATATTCAAAAATCCATCAATTCTGGAGTGATTGTACTTCTCGCAATTAAACATCTTATCTCTGTTGAATAAATCCTGCAGCTCCACACTGCATAACTCTGAGAAAAAATTAATTTATTTTACCACCACAGACGCATACTTTAAGCATTATGTTTAAAATACCGCTGCGTAATTTTAACAACCTTTTGGCTCTAGGCTACTTAAACTTCACCTGACCCTACCGGATTACCTATACCCTCCCCCCACCACCCAGGGAGAGTAGCTACCTTCTCTTCTGCAGTGGAGATTACCTTGATTTTTGGTATCTAAAATGTTTTTCCTTTTTCTGTTCACTACTTATTCTTGTTCCTATTACCTGACGTGCATTTGACCTCCCTCTCAGCTGCATCATTATGCCTCAAGCTGCTTTTGTATTCCTATGGACTTGTATGGGAAGAAAAGCCTTTGTGACATGAGCAAAAGGCAGTCGACACAGGCCCTTGAGGTGGTCATAAATGCTCAAGCCCCTGATACAACACTTGCATTAGCATTGCACGATTTAGGTCCACCCTAGAATAATAAAATAACATATAAGTGAATACAGCGCCAAAAGAAAAATTTCAATTAAAAAATAAAATTGAAATGATAAGCTGCTCACCCTCTAAAAAAAAAAAAAAAGTAACAGTATAAATCAATAAATGTGTTTCGTCACTTGACGTTTTCATGGAGCGGAAATGCGTAGGGTGGAGCTTCGGACTGACATTACTACGTTCTGTAAGTGGCTGCTGTCTTCGGCTTTTGAGATGATTTAATGTTTGTGCGGTTCATGCTGGTGTCGGCTGAGACACTTTACCATGTGAGTGGTTTGGATATGTTTTAATACAAATAAACCTACTATACAGTATTACACTATTGCCTGCTTTGTTTCTCTTCCCTTTTGAGCCTATGTAAGAGGAGTTGGATATATTGGAGAGTTGTGTTGCCGGGGTTTCCTATCTGAAGATCATTGCTCCCAAAGCTGAGAGGAGTTGGATATACTGGAGTCTTGTTGCCATGGTACCTGTCTGTAGATCATTGCTCCCAGAGCAAATGCGCAACTTGCTAGTTTATAATATTTCTAGCAATAATCTCTGGTGAGTTCATTCATTTCTACTGGTGGTGGATTGGTACACTTTTGGCGATGGCCTTTTTTCACATCGTTTGAAATACATCAGAGACATTTCTTTTTTGAGCACTTTTATTTTATTTGATTATTTATCATTTTCACAATATACCTTTTTGATTTAATTATGATACGCGCAACCTTTTTGTTGATTTGTACCCTAGAATGATGATAATGTGTCCCTCCAGCTATCGATATTTTAGCGTGTTAAAATATCTCATGGTGACCTGACTAATGCTTTAGCTTTGAACTACCAATGCCATTGAAAATTAAGGATTAATACACCTTTCATAAAATTATTGCCTCTCTGAAGTTTACCAGGCTTCTTTTTAACATTAAATATAAAAAATGAAGTTATTCTAGTGCATGTACTCAGTTTCTTACAACTAATACTTGTTTTTTCCATTTCCAGTTTGTTGACACGAAGGAAGACTTACAACCATGAATTTTTTCCTGGAGACTCTCAAAGTTTTTTTTCTCACTATCTATTTGCTCTTTGAATCTATTATTCTTTGGATTATCCCATCTCGAAGGAAAAATGTTTCTGGTGAACTTGTACTCATCACTGGGGCAGGAAGTGGAATAGGACGGCTAATAGCCCTGGAGTTTGCACGCCTTGGAGCAACACTTATTTTATGGGACATCAACGAGGAGGGCAATAAAGAAACAAGCAGGCTAGCCAAGAAGAATGGAGCAGTTCGTATACATACATATACATGTGACTGTAGCAAAAGGGAAGACATTTACAGAGTGGCAGATCAGGTACGTGTTTTTGTCATTGTTTTATCAAGTGTATTAAATTGTGTCCCTTTTTATAGAAGACAATGTTTATTAAAGCAGTATTAATCCCAAAAACAAACGTCTTATATTGTAGTTTACCAATTATTAGATGCTTTGGCTGCATTCGTTTCCTTTTTAGCCTTTCTTTACTTTATTTTCATCTGTTGATCCTGCCAGTAAGTCTGTTACTTTTCAACAGAACAAACTCTCCTGCAAATGCTGCAGTTAGAGTGAGACAAGCCATTTACCACTAACAAGAGTGCTTAGAATTATCAACTTTTATTTATTCATGTAAAACCTTTATCCCAAAAAAGAAAACTATTGCTGTAAATGCTTGTGAGCTGGCATTTGGCTTCAGTTTGTGTATCTAAATCTGCTACTACATCTAACACCCCCCCCCCCCCCCCCCCCCAGACTGACAATGCTGCTGTCCCAAAGGTGTCCCTGTCTGCATTTATCAAGAGTGGGGGCACTCGAATATAGGAGGATTGTTACTGGCAGGAAAAGCCTAATAAAACAAAGAAAACGAATGCATCCACCAAATCTAAGGATTGGTAAGCTGCAATATATAACATTTTTGGTTTGGGATTTAACCTCCCTAGTGGTCTGATTATGTTTTATATTTTTGTGTTCAAAGCGGTATATTTTTTTTGCATGGAAATATGTATTTTTTTTATTGTAGGCCTGTAATTTTTAGGAATAATTCACTGAAATCTGTCCGAACAAGAGTCTAGAAAACATTCCGGATATGTTAAAATTTGAAACCCGAAATCATAAATTTATAATTTTAGTAAATAATCATAAAAAATATGAATTTAATTCAATAATATAATCAAACCAAAAACACTGAAATTTGAAATATAGCGGCAAGTTTGCACATCACTGAGCAAAGTCGCAAAATCGTTTTCAGTGTCTGATGACGAATTTCCCCACGAATCATTATCACTCAATTCTGCAAGTAGTTCTAATTTACTATCGCTGTTCTCTAGCTGGTCTAAAACCGCTTTTGACCTAAAGGGACGCTTTTTGGACGCCATGGACATTTCTCAGTTTCCAGACAGAACAGTAAAAATGCAGGCAGGGCACAGGACAAAGCACTGGGGAAAAAATGTATGTGAAATGGTTTCATACAGTAATGTTTTACTATGTGATTTTAGTGTATTTAGTGAATGTCACTTTTTGCCATTTTCAAATTTCCCGCCAGTTCTGTCCCCCGTACGTCTCGACGTCGTAAGGGACGGAACCCAGATGACAGATGCCGGCATCCGCCAGAGGACATTGCCGGGGACGCTGCAGGAGGGACATCGCGGGAGCGCAGGACAAGGTAAGAGAAGAACAGATCCCGGAGCAGCGCCGCATAGTAAGCCTGAGTGTAGCTCGGGGTTACCGCTTGTGGTACTGAAATTTTACCCCGAGCTACACTCGGGAATACCGACAGGGAGGCTACTACCACTTTAAGTACCTCATGGGGTATATTGCCTAACCTGATGTACCTCTTGGCTTTCTAAAAAATCCACAATGTGTTTATTCTGTTAGGCACCAAAGGTAGTAGATCTGTTTTTTTTTTTTTTTTTTTTTTTTTTTTTTTTTTTTTTTTTTGCCCTTTCCTGCAAAAGATCTACTGCTTAAAGTGAACCTTCACCCTAAAGTTTATATCATGTTGACCTGCCTCCTACCCTGCGTGTTCACAGACACGCATATTTTTGTAATTGATGCCATTTTTCCATAGTGCAAAGCAGCACTTCTGCATTTCTCGCCCAATTGAGAGTTATGTTTTCTGTCCTCTGCTCTCCTGCGCGTTAGCAGATATGCATCAGGGCTTAGGGTCACAAGTGAGTCCTGCAGCATATTTGCACACGCATGGGTTTCCCTGAACATCTGCGTATGTGTATGGTTTCCCACCCTTGCACAAATGTGGCTGTGAGGGAAGTCCCAAACCTTTGCAGTCTTTGAGCATGTGTGGTAAAACATACTGCCCACTGTCGTACCTTCTACACTCTGTCCCTGAACATACTGCCCACAGTAATACCTTTTGCGCTCTGTCCCTGAAGATACAGCCCGCTGGCAGACCTTCCACGCTGTGTCCTTGAACATACTGCCCACTGTCATACCTTTTACACTTTGTCCCTAAAGATACTGCCCGCTGTCAGAACTTCCACACTCTATCCCTGAACATACTGTCCACTGCTTTACTTTCTATATTCTGTCCCTGAACATACTACCCACTGTCATACCTTTTACACTCTGTCCCTGAACATACTGCCCACTGTCATACCTTTTTCACTCTGTCCCTGAACATACTGCCCACTGTTGTACCTTCTGTACTCTGTCCCTGAACATACTACCCACTGTTGTGCCTTCTGTACTCTGTCCCTGAAAATTCTGCCCACTGTCCTACCTTCTGCACCCTGAATTTTTAAGAGGCGATGATACCATCCAATAAAAACACCGATTTTGGTGAGAACTGTGTGGGTATACTAATGCACTACGTTAAGGTAGCCCATTTTTTTAAATGGGAAGGCAATGCACACAAAAAAAGACCTGCAACAACTTTTGTGACGCGACTCACCTCATAGCATGGTAGTGCATTACCATGCATTGCAGTATGCTTACAATGTGTGTTGGTTGCACAAGTGTGAATAGGCCCTCTAAGAGGGCAAATCCCTCCACGTTGTAAAGATTTACTCTTGCATCTCCATTGGCACTGTTTAGGGATCATTTGTTATCGCACATAAATTTATCATTTTAAAATATGTGTGTTTGTTGTTTTCCTTCCTAAAAGTATTTCCAGGCAGTCAGAGCTTCTGGCTTCTGCTCACTAGCCAAATAAAAGCACAAAATGTAACTCCAGGAAGTTGAAATTTGATATAACACTATTGAAGTTTGTCGCCATAATACATGCACATTATCCAAACTGAAATTTGTCACTGCAATAGTTGCACATTATCCACCTAAAATGTGATACTACACTTCATCTCACTTGGAGTTGGACCTTATTCACACAGGCACTGAAGCCTGTAGATTGTGAATGGACTGTTTGTTTTTGCAGCTGAAGCCACCAAGTGCTGTGTGCAGGCAGCTCATGTAAATGTATAGGAATGCAGGAGCTGCAGGGACACAATCACTTGTCCAATTTCACATGCACGTGGGTGCGCACATACCTGCAACCCTGTAAAATTAGGTAAGTCCATCCCAATACATGTACATGGGCTGCCTAATACATGTACGTGGGCTGCCTGCACGCAGCACCTTGGCAGCTCAAGCTGGATAAACAAATGACCCATCTACAGTTTGTGGGACTGGGCACCCATGTGACTGAGGAAGCCCAACTCTGAGAAAAGATCTCCTTTGCAGTGGGGCTGCACCCGCACTGCAAGGGTTAGCTGCTTGTTTCTGTCTAGAGTAAAGGAAAAGTACTTTTACTTGCCTGGCAGACAGCACTCCCCTATGCTTCAGCAGTAGACTTCCCTCAGTGTCCTCACATCCAGTGCAGGGATATGAGCCCTGCATTGGTCTTGATGATGTCAGAGGACCTAACGCTGCTGGAGTGCAGGGACTGAGGCTGCAGAGAGTGGCTTAGCAACGTGGAGGAGTTTGTGGGAGATAAGGATCTGGTAAAAAAAAAACTTCTGTACCTGGTCCCCCTAGAGAGAAAGTAGTAGTTTACCCTTGTAGTGTGGGCCCAGCCCCACACCTTGATGACATCAAAGGACCTTAGACCGCCAGAGTGCAGGGGATTGGAGTCTGCGGAGGGCAGTCTGCCATCGTGGAGGAGCTTGCGGGAGCTAAGGATCAGACAAGAAACACTTCTGTACAGTACTTGGTCCCCCTAGACAGGAGCAGTTGACGCTTGCAATACGGGCCCAGCCCCACGTCCTGATGATGTCTCGATGACATCAAAGGATCTTGGAGCGCTAGAATGTAGGGGATAGGAGGCTGAGGAGGGCAGTCTACGAGCATGGAGGAGCTTGTGGGAGCTAAGGATCAGGTAAGAAACACTTCTGTACTTGGTTTCCCTAGACAGAAAGGAGCAGTTGACACTTGTAGTGTGGGCCTTGCCCCACATCTTGATGTCTGGATGACATCAAAGGACCTTGGAGTGACAGAGTGCAGGGGATAATAGGCTGCAGAGAGGGAATTATAGCAGCATGGAGGAGCTTGCTGGAGCTAATGATCAGGTAAAAAATAACTGTACCTGGTCCACCTACACAGGAAAGAGCAGTTAACTGTTGTAGTGCAGGCCCAGCCTTACTGCAAGGGAGAACATTTAGTTTTCCCTGAGTTCAGCTTTAAAATTTGACAGTACGCTATCTGCACATTGTCTAACTGGAATCTTGACTTATCCATCCAGACATTAAATAATCTTTTTTTTTTTCTTTGTTGTAGAAGATGTATGGATGATGTTTTACCTGCATCTCTTCTAAAACTTCATTGCTCATCCAGTCAAGTCCCTTCTGCATTATGTCCCCCAGCCAGTTTAGTGCCTGTACAAGGAGGTGCAGTGTATGGGAAAAATCAGGTCCCAGGCAGTGGCCCTTTCTTCCTTGCCAATATCCCAGCCTCTCTTACAGAAATATCCTTTTGCTCTATCCTAGGTTTGGACTTAATTGGAATTTTCCAGCAGTGTCTTACATAACTGCAGTTTTGTTACATGTGTAATTTTCAGACAAGAACCCAATTTAGATCCCTGGCACAGCTCTCCAGGCAGGGCTGTACTGAGAAATACAGAAAGTTTGGCAAGCAGAAGAGATTTGGCTCAGCCTTTTTTTTTCGCTCTTTGATGTTGTTGACTGCACTACTCACAGATTCCTAGAAAGACGGATCTGCGTAAATCTATGTAACTGGAAAAAAAAATTCTAAAGACCTGAAATGGGAAAATTGTTTAATGGTTCATGTAACATTCAAAGCTGATGCTCTTTTGTGGGTTTATTTTATTGTGAGACCTCCAATACTCAGGACAGGGTGGGACATATTGGCCAATT